TTTTTTTTTAAATTTGGATCCAATAGTTGTAATAAACTACTGTATTAGAATAAATTAAAGAGCAAAATTCAATACAAATATCCAGCCCCGTTTCACTGATAGTCTGCTTCATTAACAGCCTTATTATTAAAGACCATATTATGTAATCGGCTATCATTAAATAGACTATTAGTAAAACGGGGCTATCAGGATTAAGAATTGTGGTGAATAAATAAAATAATAATAAAGTGAAGAATGAGTAAAACAATAAAAAAAATAAATAAAATAGAAATAAAATATACAATACAATAACTTACTGGAGATGAAAATGACAATAGGCTCTTTTAAAAGCCATGATTATTCCTGCGTCCATTAGTTGTATTCTAGAAGTTGTATTTTTGAGTAAAAAATGTACATCTACATACCAGAGAGTTAACCCGTCTAATTTATGACTAGAACAATTGTCAAGAAGTAAAAGAACATGCTGGCCCCTATGCTTCTGCAACATTTGGTGGTCAAAATCCTGAAGCCACTCTTGAAAAAGAATTACAAACATCCAAGCCTTAGTATTGCTCCTATATGTCATGGCCAAATTATTAATTTTCATATTTTTGAAACATCAGGGTTTGGCATATTTGCCAATTATAAGAGGGGCCAACTTATGGGATCCATCAGCATTCGCACATAATGCTACAGAAATACGTTCCTTATTTTTTTTGCGCCCTGCAATTCGCCGAGTCGCTAAGGTTCGATCCGGTTCCAATCTAGAAAGAAATTTTTTTATTAAAAAAAAAAAAAAAGAAGAAGAAAATTTTATCAAAGAAAAAAAAACCACCAGTAAAAAAGTCCGATTTTGTCCATATTATATATGCGGTCAAGAGGGTATTCAGAGCATTTACTTTGCAATAAAGGTAAGGATTCAGTAATAACATCCTCATTAACAGAACCTGCTTCTCTATGAAGCTTTATCTAACGGATTCCATTTCGCTCTTTAAATTTTTGGAGCCACCCAGAAGAAAAATATAACTTGCCTTCAGGGACTCCTAGTTCATCCGCTAACAATTTTGCCTTTTTGATCATCATAGCATCGCTTAGAATAGTGCGGTGTTGATAGATTAGTATGAATTCCTTGAGCGCTAGCTCAAGCTCTGATACAGTAATGGTCCTATGTCACTTGGCATCTGGATTTACAATTTCATTTGAAAGTCATTGGTCCTTAGTTTGGGGG